TAACGAACCGAGTCGTTCGAATATTCCAGCCGAGGATCTCCACAAACTTATTAAAGTATCCTTAATTAGCGTCCGCTAATTACCTAGCCGGCATGCATGCAACAACCTATTTATACTTAAAAATGATAATGTTACGTCGGACCAGTAACGGATTACAGGAGAAAGACTTGGGGATTAATCTTCCCGTTACTTCTAGCCGGCTCGTTCACGAAAATCTCTGGTCGAATGCATTTTATCGCCGTATAATATTCGGCGGCCCGACGAACGCGCGCAAACCACATTAATTTGATTAGTAATTACAACAATAACCGTAATACGTAGGTGAACAGAGATAACTGTAATTACGGCGAATAGGGTGAAGGGGTTGTTTCTTCCTACAACCTCGAAGCTCTCTAATTTCCTGGACAGCTCGTTGTAAAGATTGTTATCGCAAGCTTATTTACATAGGCGGACGTAGGTACCTGCGCGCAGTTTGCTCGTCGAATGGTCCAGCGATTAGATGAAGACATCCAAATGAAGTATTCATGAAGTTCGTTGTTTCGATCGTCAGGTTGATGCTAAGAAATTATGGTTCGAGGGGAAAAAATATGGTTCGAGAGTGTTATTTTTGCTTCCAATATATGATTTTAACCTAATTAAGACCAATTGCACACCAGGCGCGTAATGCAGTACTTACAAGGGAAGTTATAAAATTCGGAAATTCAAGAAATTGTGAAACTTCATGTGTAAGTAGAGTAAGTCAGGCATAATACAATGCAATTTTTTTCGTGTCGTATTTCACTTTGAAGGGATGAAATCACTCCTTGAAAAATAGTTAGGATATAATACAATATCCTCAATACATTGTTCTTTCACGTCTATGAAACTGCAAAATAAAATTTTATAAAGAGTTCAAATTCTTCAAAATGCCCCCACAATTTTTTTCAAGGGGGTGGTGTCAACTCTTCAAAGTACAATTCGACACAAAAAAATTGTAATGTATTAGGCTTAACTTACTCTACTCACACACAAAATTTCACACTTTTTTGAATTTCTGGGTTCGATAACTTCCCTTGTTAGATAAAAGAACTAATCACACCGAAATGAAATAAAAATTAAAGGCAAGCGAGGATTAAAACTTGTGTAGGTTCCAAAGTAAGATTTCAAAATGAATTTTACTAAAACAATGAAAATCTATAAATTTGCAATATAAACTAAAAAAGAGTTTTAACCCTTGGTGGCCATCTTTTAAATAATCCTGATCTCGAATGTACAAAGGTGTACAGAGTGATGTACTTGACTTTACCACTTCGAATTACTTGCAAATTGTTTAATATATAAAGAAACGTTTCAAACAAAAGTTTAAAACACTGAATTGCTACATATCAATATTTTCTGTATATTAACATAATCTATATTAATGGAAGAGGCTATTAAGTATACTATACAATATTTTCTCATAATATTACATGACACCATTATCTTCGATTCAAATGACTTTGTTTACCTCCGCTAACAAGATGCTGTTGATAAACTCTTAAAAAATTAGTTCCTTATTGAATCTACATGTAAATCTAGCTTATCATATTGATATTGGGAAACAGGGTATCTCATTTTACACTAAAAATACCTTACTAAGAGGAAAGGAAGTACTATTTCATTATTATTTTCAGTATTTATACTTTATCCTCAATACATATGAAAAATATAGTTCATAAAGAAATTGTTTCGTTGTGAATCCGAAAGTATCTTGGAATCGCCAAATCGTCCCAACAAATTCACACTTCTGAATATTCCCGTGATCATAACCTCATTAGTTTCGTTGGCAACAGACATGCACAGAAATGAATATTCAAAGTGTCTTCTATTACAAGTTGCCATTAGCTCCACGATGGAAATTTCCCCATAGAAAAACCCGCTGAAAAACGAACCCGGCTACCCATTAACCAAATTAATTAGGCGAGCGTCTCCCGCGAGGCGGCGTCGCGTCGACCCGAATCATAGAAGTTCCCGACGTATATCAGGAGCCACTTTATCAAAGCACTAACAGAGCTCCCCATGAACGTCGCCAGAAAAAAGTCGGCTCGCTCGTTAGGACCCATCGAGAAGCATTAAACGCGCGAACAGCCTCCCCTCTTTGTCCTTCGTCCTTTTTGTCTTTCCTTCCCGTTAGACGTCATTTTGTCTCGTTCCCTTCACGTTTTCACTGTGAGCCAGACGTGTGTCTGCGAACCGATACGTGTGCCATTTCCAGTTGTTTTTCGGGCGACAACCGTTTCCAGAAATTCAGTCTCTCATGTCCTTTTAAACGTTAGTATCATGATTTTTTTATTACACTTACAAAAAGTCTTACTAATGTATTTTCATCTGCACTGCGGAACATAATTATAGCACCACTGAAATTTTCACAATTATTAGACTTTAAAGAAGTAACACGTCAAAACTAACTGTACTATATGGAAAAGCATTGCAAATAATCATATTTAAATGGAGATCATTGAATTCGGTTATATATATATATATTGTTATATAATCGAAGAGGTGCAGAACTACAGCACCACTTTCAATTCTTAATATCTTAACATACTTTGTTTGTGATATTATTAACACTTAAAGCTATTGCTGGAAATACCAGAATTATTAAAAACTGTACTGATGGTATAGTTATCTTCCGGAATGTATATGTTACCGTTAAAGTAAGTCAAAAATCCCTAGTGTAATAGTTTCCGATTTAAATGGAAAAATTTAAATGCAACATCGATGTTACATCATACTACAAAAAACTGTTAACCCATTACACATTTTTATACAATTTTATTATTATTGCTACTAACGATAAAGACCGGAAGATAACTTTTTTCACATTTTTCATGATATATCTTTTTTGATTTGTTACCACCTTTGAAAAGACCAGATATGAAATCCTTTCGCATTAACACTTACACGGCGAATGATTCTTTATTCATTGGTTTTAGAGCAATCACAAAAAAGGTGTAAATTTTACAATTTTCGACACTTGAAACGTTCTGAGATTTTTAGATATTTCGAAATTTCGACGTTTCGAATAACCCACATCTACCGTCAGTGTTTCTAATTTTGTATAACTAAGACTCTCAATTAAACAATCGAGAAAAAATATATTTCAATAATAGGATACGTCAAATACTTGTATACTTTCTGCGCGTCGTTTAATTAAGAAAATTTAACGAAACCATATAATCCGAATTCCCTCAGTTATTAGCATCCCAATCAAAGTATCAGATTCAAGTTTAACAGTATTTCATCGTGATAAAGTATCGAATCATTCCTCGTCGATTCAGTTTGATTTAAAAGCTTCGTAATTCGAGTGTAACTGTTAAAACATATATTAGTTATCTTTTAAGAAAGATAAGATAATTCAATAAAATATACTTTAAACCTTTAAACCTTTCGTAAGATAGACAAAGTAATAGATGCAATAATTTTCGCAAATAATAAGAAATAATAGAAACTGGACAAGAAAGTATCCGCAGGGGAAGGGATGAAGAGAAAGAAGTTTGTTCAAGTCAGTTGTAAGTGGAGCAAGACACTGGAACCTTAGTTCCGTATGAACACGACTACTTTTTCATGAGGTACATATGTACGTCGCAAACTGCCGGAGCTACATATATCATTGATTGTCCGTAATTCATGGTTACAAACTGGTGTTCCGCAATTTCATAAAACTTTTCGCGACTATCGACACCGCCGGTAAAACTGGTATACTTACGTTCAGACTTACACACACGCTGCGTGGGTTATAAAGTGCTTTTACTCTTTTTTCCTTATAATATTCTCAACGTGTATAAAAGTATATGATCTTAAAAAAATCTAAAATTTAATTATATAAAAGAAATTTATAAAAAGGTTCTATGACTGTTCTATACTTTTATAAATACTTTATAAAATATGAAATATATATATAAAAATGTGATAAGTATTTCATAATATGTATTCCTTTTTGAATATTTCTTTCTTTCCATAGTATTGAAACGAGAGCTATTTTATTGTGAATTATAATTACGTTTTGAAAGACTATCGATCATAGATAAAAATGTTGCCTTTAATAAACGAAATGTGCACGAGCTTCATAAAACTTAGCCGTTTGGTCCAATGCTTTACTATAGTATTTATTGAAATAACAAAAAAATTAAAGAAAAAAGTATTATTGCAGTATAGTTAACAGTTCCTTAATCAGCTATGATTTCTTCATCGCAAGTGTGATATACGTGTGAGTGTGAGTGTGAGCGTGTATTTGTGTACAAAAAATGGTATACATTGGGGATTTACTCGCCATTATGGAGGAACAAGACTTTGATAGAGACACCATCGATACAGACTCTCTGGAGTTCGAGGTAATTAAATGCTGTGATTTAAAATGAGACAAAGTACATAGCGGAGTATTACATATGACATTTTAAAAGAATTATCCTGTATATGTTAAAGAAGTTTAAAATAAAATTTTCAAATGGAAACTGCAATAATAAGTCTAATGTAAACCATTAAAAAAGGTTAAGCTATATACTGAATTTTACAAATTTCAAACACAGAATATTATATACGTATGCTTAATTTGTTAACGTATATATTATATATTTACCTATTATATATTAACTTAATAGATTATTATCAATATTACATGCTACTTCAAATGAATAAACTACAAATTATTAACACATGCAATATGTAAAGTATAATATTTAACATATAAAAATAATTAATGAAATTTAATAAGACATTCAATTTATTCTTAATTCAATAAAATCATTCAATTCGATTAACGTTTGTAAAAACAACAATAGTCAATTCGTATAAAGATCTAAAATTGAATAGTAATTGTTCTTAGTATTTTTATTTAATATTTTTTACAAATTCTAATAGTAAAAATAGTAGATATACTTGACTGTTAAAACTAAACAGTTTTTAAAATGATAAACAACAAGTATAAATTGCTTCTATTCTCATTCAGTTTATTAGGTTAACGAGATTTCGTGATATTATAGGCTATACAATTGTCATCGTACCCAAAGAAGCTGGATCTTAGCAACGGAGGACTGTCGAGAATTCCTGAGAGTGCTATAGCATTCCCCGCCATTGAAGAACTAGTATTAAGCCAAAATCAACTTACAAACGCCAACAACAATTTAATACTTCTACACAGGTACAGTATATTGTTTTAAATAATCTGTAAACAATGACACTTATTTCTAATTACTTCATCAATTTAACAAAACACAATATAATGACCTTAATTTCTGCAAAGAAAATGATAAGAAATTGCAATAATTTTTATATAAACACACTGTTATAATATCTCAATTTCTTTTCTAAATAACAATCACTGATACTTTAGTTAATTAACAACCGCGAAACAATTTGTATAATTACATAGATCGTACAAAAAAGTAATAATAAACATATAATGACACCTAAATAATCTTGTAACAGTATTTTATTATTTTTTTATATTTATTCTTATAATAGATTATAGTAATTCATTTATGAAATAATTAAAGCCTCAAATCATTATCGTTAAAGAATTATAGTTTTTGTAAAACAACAATCATTAAACATGTAACGAAATGTCTTCAATTAACAACTTCAATTAATAACTTTCAACTCTCCATGAATTATAAGAACTGTATGAATTTTATTATTTATATGTATTCACATTTTCAGTTTTTTTTTATAAACCATGAGATTTTATAAAAGAAACTTTGTTTACAACTATTGCGATAGTAACTTGATTAAATTCTCTGTTAACGAAGATTTCCGAAACTTCATATCCTTCATCTGGAGAGCAACGAACTGAAGAGAATTCCACGGGAATTACTGGAGCTCAGGGGGCTAACTTACCTCAATGTATCAGACAACAAAATCGAGAAGATTCCGGCTGACATAAGCCAGCTTATCAAGTATGTAAAACTAATTTTGTTAAATTGCGTTCGCAGTAACGTTCCACAAGTAGCTGCTGCAAGAAACTCATGTTACATTTTCTTCATTAAGAAAACCATTTTTAATTTACAATTTGATCCTTTACGTCCCAAATAAAAATTTTTTAGGAAGAATATATTTATTTTCACAATATACATTGACTAACTTATCATTTTTAATAGAAATACAATTTTTTTCTAAAAAATGCTATTTTAACTGTTAAAAAAATAGGCGATTATTACTATATCAATTTTATACTGGTAGCTTCGTGATTAGACTACTGATTCGCAATTTAGTGATATGGAAATATGTGGTTTCAAAGAGATGCCACCGAGAACTAAATAGTTAAATCCAAATTTAATCAACTACTTTTTTAACACTAAAACTACCAGACGGGTTAAAATGACCCATTCCTGATTTCTTCTTTTTACAATTATTAAAAAGATGACAGATGTTTCTCCAAGAAATTATTAAATAATTTGATTTAGCAATACGCAAACTGAATTGTAAATCAATTAAAGTCTCAGGTCCGTAACTCATCATCTTCGAACAATCAAATTAATACCGGACTGCTTTCTAATTGTCCGATAGTTCATCAATTTAGTAACAAATGAAATTTTTCTTATTACAATTATGCACTATACTTAACATTAAAACTACCAGACCGAATAAATTGATTCATTCCAGACTTTTTATTTTTCAAGTATTTATATTAAGAAGACTCTTCTACGACAGATTATAAAATATAGTGTATTTTTATAGATACAGATCGAGAAATGTATTTTTTTAATGTTTATAAAGAATTCGAAATATTTCACCCCAATTGCTTAAACACTTAGATAAAAATTCTTAAATAAAATTTTTAAATTCTATATAAATAGTTAAAATGATATATGATTTCTTTCCTCAAAAAATCAATGCACAAAAGCAGACGTAGATAAAATTTTGCATCATTCCTTTTCCCTTGAAGAAAATTTATTATTTACTTATTTCTATTATTTATTCCCGAAGCATTATTTCCTGGTAGATGTTTGTTGATATTACTTTAGAAGTCACAACGTGGTTTATGATTTGATAAAATAGATGTAATTATCTTCTCCAAAGTCATCGTAATTCTCTGATCATTTAATACTAAGTTTCGATGTGCCAAAGTCAGAGTAAGTTACTAAACATTGGAAGATGTACTTATTAAAATCAGGTGTCTAAATCAGTATATATTACAATACAAATTCTGATTATAAATAAAAACGTTGTTTATAAATAACAAACCATAATAATCAAACATATACTGTTTTTAATTTATTTTATATCTTGCCTAGAACATTGAAGTAGAGTGTCTGTTGATAGAGAATGTCTGTCTAAAGGAATGTTTTCAGTCGTGTGAAAGAATGAAAATATGATATATTATTTACATATGTTCTCTATTATAACTTTAACAGAAATACTAAATGTCAGCATACGATTTTTTTCAATCATTCACGATCATATAGTATTGTATTATTTACAAAAGTTATAAAGTTGTATGTTCATAAACTATGTACGTATACAGTATTGTCTAAAATATTTAAAGCTACTTATTACAATCAATATAACATAACAAATAGTACGGTAATCGTGACATTTGTAAGAATTGGAAACACCTTTAATGTTTCAAATTACGAAACATTTGTTTATGAATGTAAATAATTAAACTTCAGTAAGTATTTCCAAACAGAAAGCATATTAATATTCTTTTACAAGATGAAAAAAAACATGTATAGATACTATTCAGTTTTAAATACTTATCCAACTGGCAGATCGATCGCCAAACATGATCTTAACAAATTAAATTCCTTCTTTTGTTAGTGAAAAATATATTCAATACTCTCGTTCAAAAATTCATAACATAAAAACATTTCACACCATATTCAAAAATTCAAACCATAAAATCAAACTGCTGTACACCTTAGAAAAGCAAATAAAGTAGTTGTTATTTACTTACTAATACTGTCATATATTTTTAAATTATATAAATTAAAACATGCAGAGATGAGAATTAAAAGAATTATAAACACTTCATTATAACGATAGAAACACAAGATCATATTCTTTTTAATACGTGCAAATTATTTTATAATAATTCTACAGTAATATTATAATACAGTTAATTAAATATAATTATATTATATCAATATAATATTTTAAAATAATTATTTTATAATAATAGAACCATAAGCTCAAAAAAACATTTTTAATCTCAAATTTCATTTTTCTAATTCATAGTGTACACTGGAAATTCTATCGCACTCTTAGAACACATCGTTCACTGATACATAAGATTCAGTTTACTTATTAAGCTTAATCAGGTTTATCGTCGATCTATCGATAAATCAAGAGATCTTACAAACAACGATAACAAGAAGTTATCCGTTAATTGAACGAAGAAACCTCTAGACCAAGTATATTATTTGCGCATTTTTGTTATACCGGTAAAGCTCTTATCTGTTCAACAGAGTACTAATTAGAATTAATCACCTGCACCATGAATAATTGGAACTCACGTGTAACAAGAATTGATGTGAGAAATCTAAGGTCGCGATGTCATCTAGAAACTTACTTATGCGAATGGACTAGATTTAGAAGAAATCTAATAATAATTAAAAAAGTCTTTTATTTTGATTAATTTAATCTTTGAATAATTTTTCTACTGAATAGAAACGTACACAATCGTCAGTAGAGAAAGGTTTTTCTTTACCACAATACTAGTAATTTATATTATTATCTGAAACATGAAAAATATAGATATACCAAAAAAATGAATGCAAATTTGAATAACACTATACATTAAAAGATTTAAAGTAATAATATTTATTAAAAAATTATTAAAATTATTAATCTATATTTACATATTTTTCATTAATTATATATACAATTTTAACTTATTATTAACCTTAACCACTTTTCATTATTATCCTGCAATAATTAGGATTATAATTGATCTCTTATCGTACGAATAATTAAATTTCTTTTCCACAACTTATTAAAGCCAATATAACAGCATTCGTCCTGAAAAGATCAATACCGAGACAACACGCTCGCATTTAACTCCTTCTCCTATAAAATCGTAATGAAAATATTACACCGAATTCGATACAAATCTGAATGTTATTTATTTATTTTTAACCAATTAACTATGAAATTTAGGTCGAAAAATCTCTCATTGTGCATGCAATAAAATCAAATAATAAGGTGTATACTTGTTAAACGCAGGGCAAATACATCTATAATATATTCTAACGATAAGCTAAAACAAAACGAAGAAGAATTACATGTTCATCTGAAAAAATAAATAATTTATCATTAAAAAAATTAGTGCCATTTTGTGTTTTGAGATGACGCGTATACTTGCCAAATGCAGTTAACTGGTTAATACAAATTAAATACTAGTATCAATCTTCAACTTCAAGAGCAAACGTCGACATAGAATAATCATCAAATCCTTCTCTGTTTCCACTAAATTATTAACACTAGGTTTACGGACTCTTATTGTACAGTTTATTCTATTGGTCTTAAAAGACTTGATGTTCATTTATTTAGATTTTGGAAATTAGAGTTTTAAAGATTATACAGTTAAAGTACTCATTTATGCTATTGCATCAATCAAAATCAACAGAAACATTTATTAAATAATATTCTTAAAATTCAATATTCGTCAGATTGACGCGTTCAGTAAACTTATGTAGTGTTAATAACAAAGTACTTGTATCAACCACAGTTGTGGAATAACTCATAGGACAAGGGGTTAAAATGCATTGGGACGTATCGGTTACCATCAGTTTAACACTAGAACTACCGAGCATTTTCATAGATTATTTTCAATTTTTTCAGGTATTCATTATAGTCATCAAGTGAAACCATTTATTTTCAAGGTCATTTTGAATATTCAATGTTTTGGAGGTATCAATACTCGCAAAACAAAACAACCGAAATCAGTCATTTTGACTAGTCGTTTCAGTGTTAATTACGCTTCCGTGACCTGAAACCTCTTAAGTTTCGCGCTCGTTAGTCCGTGCGACGGTCAGCTGTTGGAACACGTGCTCCGGTTTCGCGACTGTCATTTGCGTCTATTTTCCGCGCGGACGATCCGCGATGCGTCGCGCGCCAATAAAATCCCCGATTCGGTTGATCTGGGCCGACGATGGCCGGAGGCCGGTGTAATTAAAGCGGAAATTACGTAAAGTCTCTCGAAAACTGCTTTCCACTGAACGGAAATGAGGATCCCGGAGAAGAAGGAACTACGGTGTGAGCACGAGCTCGCGCCGATACACGGGCCTCGGTTACACATCGAAGACGCGCGTGCACGAACGAAGCCTCCGCGGAAAAAGAAAACGCGGCACGAGGCGTAGCGTATGCACACAGCTGCGACTGTAAAAGCTAAGCCAGCTCTCCGCTTGCCGGTAGAATGGAGTTGGGCAACACGCCCGGCAGAAGTCATGCATCGGGGGGCAGTGGTGCAGAAACTGCGGAGCTAGAACGACCTAACCGCGAGTTAATGCGAAACTTTCCAATAATCGCGTGGCCGTCACTGCTCGGATTTCGGTTTCAATCAGTTTTAACCAATTAATCCCTTGACATACAATATCGTGTCAGGCTCGTGACCAAAATATCAAACTCAATTTGAGAAATCTAAATGTTATTTATTGTTTTTAAATATAAATTAAAAATTACCTTTCTATTACCAATCGTTAACTTTTGGAGTACACTTAGACGTAGAATAAGTATAAACATTTCCCCTTTTCCTAATAAATTATTAACAATAAAATAGTTGTATCGATCATAGTTACGAAATGAGTCATAGGGCAAAGGGTTAACTGCATTTGACGAATAAACACGTCATCTTAAAACTCTAAATGGTGCTAACTTTTTCAACGATAGACGATTTATTTTTTTAGAGAAACGTGTAATTCTTCATAAAATTTCTTCGAAGAAAACACGTTCGTTT